CCTCCTCCTGGTCCTCCTCCTCATCCTTTTCCTCCTCCTGCTCCTGCTCCTCTCCTCCTCCTCCTCCTCCTCCTCCTCCTCCTCCTCCTCCTCCTCCTCCCCCTCCCCCTCCTCCTCCTCCCCCTCCTCCTCTCGCATGACGACCAACCGCGGTGGCTTACGCGGGCCGCCAGCGCGGCACGCCACATTGGACACCAGGGCGCTTACGCGCGACCTTTCGCGGGCAGCTCACGCGCCAATGTCGGCGAAGACGACCACGCTGCCTTCCGTCGCTCACCTGGAGGATGGAGGCAGGGGGTGGTCAGGATTGGTGGTCGTGTACATCGTTTCGGGTGCTCTCGTGAGACATCGTGCACACTTGCATCCCACATGTCAGCTCCTCCCGGCGGCATCCGAACCCACCCCTCGGGGGTGGCGGCTGAAAGGGCGTGATGTTGGACCGACCGGACCGGCCCTGAGAGGGCAGTGTGGTGGTGAGGAGGAGGAGGAGGAGGAGGAGGAGGAGGAGGAGGAGGAGGAGGAGGAAGAGGGAAGAGGAGGAGGAAGATGAGGAGGAGGAGGAGGAGGAGGAGGAGGAGGAGGAGGAGGAGGAGAGGGAGAGGGAAGAGGGGGAGGAAAAAGAGGGCTCTCGACCACTTCCCCAGCACGGGCTTCTCATCCCGAGCCCCTCTTCGACGGCCCCGGGGCCCCTACGAGAGCCCCGAGAGGCCGACTCCGGCCAGAACCCCCCCATGTTTTCGAGACGCCAGATGTCCGGGCAGCTTAGCTGCCTCGATGCGCACGCTTTGATACGCAACACGTACCGTACTCGAGACGTCCGTGCCAATACGTTGCGTGTCGGCTCAACGTGTGGGCCCACGTTTTGGAGAGAGTATTGCGTCAGACCCACGCTTGCAGGGTACGTGCTGGGCTCCGTGTCCATACGCTACGTGTTGCGTGTTGCGTATCGAGACGCCAGGCGTCTGGGCAGTCACAGGGGGCGGGGATGGGGGGCGAGTGGCGCCGCCCAGGCGCTCGCAGCGCTGGCGCGGGTGGCCGGAGGCGCAGCGTCGCGGGGCGGCGGCGACCCCGCGCGCGCGCGAGCGCCTGCGGGCCTCTAGGCCTCGGGAGCTGCGTCTCGGGATCGGTGGTCCTTGGGAGGAGGTTTTCGGGGGAGGGTCTTCGGAGGTGTCGGAGTTTTCGGAGGTTTGCGGAAGTTTTGCGGAAGTTTTGCGGAGGTTTTGGAGGGTTTTGGTTTTCGGAGGGTCCCGAAAAGTTGTCGTAGGTTTTCAAAGGTTTGCAAATGTGTTCAAAGGTTCTCGGAGGTTTTGGCAGGTTTTGGGGGGTTTCTGAAGGTTTTCGGAGGTTTTCGGAGGTCTCCAGTCGGTTGTTTCGGAGGTTTTCGGGTACAGTTCCCCACCCGGAACGACAGACTCCCCCCCAACGGCACCAGCAGTGCGTTGCAGTTATTGCTCCTCCTCTTCCTTCTCCTGCTGCCAAACTCGGGCCAGACGAGAGGGGGGGATTGGGAAAGGGGGGGGTACGAAATCTGCTGCATGCAGCTGGTTTCGGCCCCACCGAGGGGCCCATTCCTCGATACATAGCCACCTCCGTCGCCTGGAGGCGCCGGGAAAATCAGCTACGCGAGCTGATTCGCAAATCCCCCCCTTGGCTATCCCCCCCTTTCGCCCGATCCGACAAGACAAACGTCAACATCGGGCGTCGGCCTTCTGTTCGACGTCTCTGCGCTCCAGTAGCCTTGGAGTTGGAGGCCCAGAGGTCAGCACCCACTCCAATATCGGCGGCGTGCCTCCACCGAGGGACGATGATCCCGATCTCGGGGATGGTGGTAAGGTTCTGGCTTTCTAGGTGGTCGAAGGATTTCCGCCAGCACCAACATCTAGGATCGTCTTCTCGTGGTGGAGGCCCCCCCCCCCGTGTTGGTGTTGGTGCTCATGTGCAGGCCTCCAGTGGAGGGCGGAGGAGGAGGTCGGGGTCCTGGCGGTCCCCAGAGGCCTCTGGAGAAGCCCCGCCCCTGGCCCCCTGGGGGGCGCTTCTTCCCACAAGCGCTGCTCCCCAGCGTGTGTTTACCTCGATCGGCTCCGCCGATAGCCGTCGGTCGTTGAAAGTCGGTCGTTCCAGTCTGCTTTCTGGACGCCCGACATGGGCACTGAAAGAATGGGTACAATGCCCAACAGCAGTTCCTGTTCATTTTGAACAGGGCTCGCTGTCCGCGCCGCCGCGGCCTGTGTCCATTCCAGACAGAAGGCCGCCTGCCCAACAGCGGCCGCTGTTGGTTTGGGACAACATTTGTTGTTGGGCATTGTACCCATTCTTTCGGTACCCATTTCGGGTGTCCAAATGCTTGAGGCGCCTGCCTACGCCAACGATCGAGCGGTTTCGCCTTGTCCGTCCTCCCCGGGGGGCGGACGCTTCTGCCTGCTGTCGGGGCGCGGAAGGAAGGAGCCCTTTTCGTTTGGGAAGGGCTCCGCGTTCCTTAAAATTGTTTCGCAGCTCGCCCCAGCTTGTCCTTACTCCAGATGTCGTAATAAAAGGGAGGGGGTCTGGACCCTCCAAGACGAGCCATTTCAGACCTCCCCCGTGGGAGAACCCTCCAAAACATCGTCCCCAGACCCCCCCAGGCCCTCCAAGATAGGGTGGAAGAGACCCCCCCCGACATGAGACTCCCCTCCCTTTATTACGAAATCTGGAGTAGGTTTTCGGTATGAGATCGAAGTTCAACTTGTGGAAAGTAGGGTGCTCGTTCCTTAGTCAGGGCTCCTCAGGTCAACGCCCCGACTGTACTTCTTGGACCGATGGGCAGTGCGCAGTCTGTGTCGGCTCTCGTGGCGCCGCCTGCGTCGCGTGGCAGGGCCGCAGCGGACAGGCCCACCTTGGCGCCAGCACGCGTCCCGAGCATCGTCCATCGGAGGGCGTGAGCGTTCGCTGGCCTCTGGCCGTCGATGGGCAAGCGCAGGTTTCGCGTCGTCCCTTGGCTGCCTCGATAGGTACGCTTCGATGCGCAACGCGTGCCGTGCTCAAAACGTCCGTGCCAATACGTTGCGTGTCGGCTCAACGTGTTGGCCCACGCTTGGGCGAAAGTATCGCGTCAGACCCACGTGTTCAGGGTACGTGTTGGGCTCCGTATCCATGCGCTACGTGTTGCGTGTTGCGTACCCGGGGCGGCTAGGGCGGCGTCGTAGCGTCGATGAGAGTCGATTCGCGTCGGCCACAGCCGATCCGCGAGAGCCAGCAGGATGGCGTGGGAGGCTCCCGTGAGGTGTCACAGAAGGGCACGCCGAAGCCTCGTCCTCTCAGACTCGGGCTCCCCCGAGAGCCTTGCGCTGCAGTTCCGCCGCAGCGGGTGATTTTTGGCCTTGTCTCGGGCCCTGTGGACCCGCACGTCTCGATCCGCCTCGAACTATACTGCAGAAAAAATCGGTTTGGGGCTCTGTTCGTGGCTCTCCGCTATGTCCGAGTGCGGGGCCGATCGGTCATGCACTGTCCCTGGGTGCGCGGCTGAAGTGGGCTTCCCCGGTGCATTATCGTTGAGCCCCCCTCTGGGGCACGTTGTTTTGTGCAATCGAAGTGCCCTTCCCGGGGCTCGCACCCGTTTGTTTGTTTAAACCAGGGGCAGTTTTAGGTTACAGATTTGGGCCCCTGGCCCCCGAGTTATAACAACCACAACAACAACAGCAACAACAACAACAACGGCTTCAGTCAACATTTCCTCACAATGTATTCCCAAATCGCTCTCTCGCGCGGCCAGACGTCTTCAGAAATTGCACAGAAATCGCGCTCTCGCGTGGGACTTCCTCGCAACTTCGTCGCAATGTATTCAGATGCCGCCTTTTTGACACTCACGAGTCACTCTCTCGCTTTGGCTTCACGATTTACTTGGGAGTCGCGCTATCGCTCGAGATACTGTATGCAGTATACATTGCGGCTTCCAATTGGACATTCGGGGTGAGGATGGGAGAGGCCAAGGAGGAGGAGAAGGAAGAGGAGGGTTGTAGGACATGTTGGACGGCTTGCTTGCGTTCCAGGCATTTAGTTTGGGAGGGTGGATAGAGGAAGAAGAGAGGGAAGAAGAGAGGGAGGAGGAGAAGGAGGAGGAGGAGGAGGAGGAAAAAGAGGCGCAGGCGGAAGCGGAGGCGGAGGAGGAGGCGGGAGGAGAGCAGAAAAAAACAGGTTGGGAGGAGAGGATGATGATGTCGATCTCGAAAGTATTCTGTAGTTGTTTGATGTGGAGAGCGGCGGAGGCTGTAGGAGGCTTCGGCGCAAGAGGAGGAGAGGAGCAAGATTGGGGGATGAGTTGATGGAATGAGTGAACAGAGGAGCCATTGAGCAGGATGACCAGACCAGGAGGCGAAGGGAGGCGAGGTGCGCGGCTGAGCGGGATGGAAGGAGCAGGAGCAGGAGGAGGAGGAGGAGGAGGAGGAGGCAGGAGGAGGCGGAGCAGGAGGAGGGGGAAGAGGAGGAGGGGGAGGAGGAGGGGGAGGAGGAGGAGGGGAAGGAGGCATGGTGGGGAGGAGGGGGAGAAGGAGAGGGAGGAGGGGAGGCGGAGTCGGTGTGCAGCACTCGTGAAAACATCAGTACTGTTCGATGCCCGAGTTGCCCCAAGTGTTTTTGCACCGCGAGGAGATTGGCCATTCACCAGGGGATTGTCCACAAGGTCACGCTGGAACTCTGGGCGCACGTCGGGGACATCAGTGTGTGCCTTGTCTGTGGCACAGATTCTTGTCAGCAGAGCACGGCTCATAAAGCACTCGGGGACCACAGCGGGATGCGCCCCGTGTCACGTCGAGGTGCGTCTTTGCGCGAATCGCCGGCCCGTGTGCGGGACGACGGTCTGCAAGCGTCAGAGGCGCGGGACGCCAAACAGCTACGAGATGCCCACAGACCCGGGCCCCCCCCCCAACGCGTTGGCTGAAACACTAGCCAAGCTGGCCAGACGACGATGAACGCGAGCGGGCAGCGCTTGTGCATTGTTTCACACATCTGCTACGGTGGCTTCACGCGTGGCACTGCAAAAAATGAGGGGGATGAAGGCCAGGAGGGGCAGGCGGGAGGGGCACGGGAGCAGCTCCTCCACGTCATGAGTGGATGCTTGCTGAGACCCGATGTTGCCAATGTCGCGCAGATGCTCGGAGGCAGGGGGTTACTCTTGGCCCCTCCTCGACAGGCGACGATGCGTCAGCGGCGGGGACCATACAGAGCTTGGTCGCGCTGGCCAGCAACAACACGGCGCCGTCCGGTGGGCGTGTCTTTGTTTGCGCACAGTTGCAGTTGAAGCGCGTTTGTCGCCAAGGGGTGCGCATGCGAACGCCACATGGAGTGCGCTTGCCCTTTTTGCTGCTGCCTTCTTGCGTTCCCGCCAAATTATAAGTTTGATGAAACCTAGTGGCCTGCGGCGCACCCCGCCACCGCGACTCGGGTTGTAGGTCGGAGGTCTCTTGGATGCCTGCGTGGATCTCTTCGCAGGCCTCTCGGAATCAGATTGGAAGCGGTTGGGGTGTGTCCTGCTGCTTGTCGGAGGCCTTTCGGGGGCATTTGGGGGCCTGCTTCGGGCATCCTGTGAGCCTCATAGGGTCATCTTGTGGCGGATGGCTCGGAGTGTCATTTCGAGTCCCCTCTCTGGAGGCCGTCTTGGGGCCCTCTTGGGCCCTCTGGGGACCCTCTTGGCTGCCTCTTGGGCTGTTTTGGGGTGATCGTATGGGCCCCCTGGGCCGTCTTGGAGCGTCAGGAACCCGAAAAGGCAAAAACGCGAATCTCTTTCTAAAAAACTTCAGGCACATCAATGATGTGTGCTTCTTGGGGCCCTCTTGGGAATCCTTTTGGAGACACCTTACTCGGGGCGTCTTGGGGGCCTCCTGGGCCGTGTGGAGGCCATCTAGGGCTTCTCGGAGAGCTCTTGGGCCGCATCGCTGCCCCCGTGGAGCATCTGCGAGGCTTCGTGGGACCCACCTGGCCAATCTTGGGGCCAAGGGACCTGAGGACATTCCGTTTCGAGCCTCGCGTTACGGTGGCGGACATGCTGTGGCACGAAGGGATGTTGTTCGGGCTGTTTCTCGTTCTCCATTCGCCCCCTCGAGTTCTCGCAGTGGCTCGTGGGCGGAAGCCATATCCGTATACAAGGCCTCGCGGGCCGCGCCCCGGGGCCGCGACTCCGTGGAGACGGTGTGTGATATGTTTTCGCGGATGCCACACGCGGAACTGAGCCATGCGATTCCGAATCCGCAGAATCGCGCCCCAGACTCTAGACCGCGAAGGCGTGGATACCAGTCCGTCGGCGAATGTAATGGCCGCCGGCCAGTGCCGCCGATCCGGGACGCTTCCGCTGGTGCCGGAAGCGCACGATGGCGGTCATGACCGGCGACGACGGCGAGCGGTGAGGATGATGATGAGAATTGGGAATGGAGGCAACGAAGTCGGATGAGGATGACGAGGACGAGGAGGAGGAGGAGGAGGAGGAGGAGGAGGAGGATCATGATGAGGTGGAGGGTTGAGGGGGGAAGAAAGGAGTAGCAGGATGCTGAGACTGAGGATGAGCAGGAGGAAGCGGGAAGTGGAAGAGGGGGAGGGGGACAAGGAGAAGCATGACGAGGATGGGGAACCATTGGGACGGGTTTGGGGCTTCTCGGGGGGAGTCTTGGAGGCAGCTTGGAGGCCTCTAGAAGGCGTATTGGATGCATTTTTGAGACTCCTGGGGGTTTCAGGGGGCCTCTTCGGGGCCAGTTAAAAGCGTCTCGGGACCTCTTCAGGCCTCTTGGGGGCTTTGGGCGGCCTGCTGGGGGTTTCTTGGGCCGTCTTCGGCACTTTTTTTCCGCCGTCTTGGCGCCTTGTCAGGCGCCTCTTGGGCCCGTCCTGGGGCCCTCTTGGGCCTTTCTGGGCCTCCTGGGCCATCTCGGCCTTCTTGGGCCGTTTTGGAGCCCTCTTGGCGGCGTCTTGGGCCGTTTTGGAGTTCTTGTGGAGCGTCTGCGACGCTTTGAAGGCCCAAGAGGCGAATATGCTAACATTGCACGCTTTCCCTACGGAATGGGGGACTTGCTGCTTTTTGGGCGTACTTTGGGGGTCCTTTTTCAAAGCTTCTGAAGGCATTTTGGAGGCTTCTCGGGCCGTCTTGGGGATGTCTTGGGCGTCTTGTAGCGACCGTTCGGCGACTCGGGACCTTCTTGGCCCATGTCGGAGCCCTCTTGGGCGAGGGGGCCGTCCCAGAGTGAGCTGGGCCTCCGATTCCGCCCCGGGACTTAAATCGACCCCCCCACCCCCACCCCCCCCCTTCTACCCCGGCAGAGCCACCCCAGCACCCACCCCCCAGTGGAGCTGAAGCTCGGGAATTGAGGCTCAGGCTGTTCTGAGGGCCTTTGAAACTCACACGCCGGATCGGCGGATTTCTGGGTCCCCAGAACCCAATCTATTTCCAGCGCCTTCAGACTTCAAGAACCGATCTGCTCTCGCTGTGCGTTGTGATGCCCTGGGAGAGCCTGAAACCAACCTACCTTATCCGTCCTCCTGCTTCATGTTCTCACCTAGTTCGACCGACGCGTATGGATACAGACGCCGCTCGTGATGAAACCGCGCAGCCTCGGACTGCGAGCCGTGCTGACTCCCGGAACAAAAACCCGCCCGGAGCCGTGCGGAGCCGCGCGCTGCTGTGCCTGGCAGGCGCCGCCCGGCGCGGGGACGCCAGCGCCGTCGGCTGCGCGATCGGCATCCTGGAGGCGAGCGACGCGGGCCTGCGCCGAGAGGCGCGTCGGAGCCGAAAAAGCGAGGATCAAGCAGTGGCGAGGCGTCTTGGCCTGCCTATAGGCCCACCCAAGAATGTTCCAAAATGTCGACGCGGTTTGCACGACATGCTCTCAGGCCAGTTATGGTTTGGGCTGCCTTGCGTTAGCACATCGGGTTTCTGTTCCAGGCCCACAGGGATGCCGGGACGTTCAGTCCCTGCTCGAGAGGAGGAGGGTCGGGTCGGACGGGAGAGAAAAACGGGGGGCACGTACAATAATGCACAGTAGGCCAATGAGCGGCGGGGGAAAGCGGGGCCGTCTTCACCGACGTCGGCGCGTGAGCTGGCCGCGTGAGGCCGCGCGTGGGCGTTTTCGTTTTTTCGACGTCGCGTGGTGCGCTGGCGGCCCGCGTAGGCGGTCACGTGAGGTTGCTACGCTATGCCACCGAAGGCCATATGAAGTAAGGCACCGGCCTGCTGGCAGGTCCCCCACGGACATCCCACCAGCCCTTTTGGGCGTGAGTGGTTTAGCGAGCGTCGTTTTCACTCCACCCCTTCTACCCTTCGGGGGGGTTATCATTGCTCCCTATTGCTAAGCAACCCCCCTCCCCCAGGCGACCGGCAGCCAACCTGGACCAACGAGCCTCCCCCCACAACATCCCTTGCAACATCCATACAACATGCATGTTGCCTCCAGATTTGGCGAATGCGCGGGCGCCCCGCGACCACTTTACATGGTTTTTGTCAGGTACGGCGGGGGTGCTTGTACATAGCTTGCTGCAAATCTGGCAAATCTTGAGCATGCGCAGGGCCCTCTTTACTCCGAGCTTTGATTTGCTTCACGACTCCGCAATCTGTCACAACGGGTCCACCGATGCCAGTGCTCTGCGCTCCGTGGGGGAGCCGCCCTTCTCACAATGTGCTCGGCGCTGCGCTTCGGGGGGGCTGAAGATCCTGAGCTCTTGGGGGCCAGGGCCCAAGGCACCTGGGGTCCCTATTGGTTCCGCGTAGCTGGCGCACGTGGCGCAGCTGGAGCATGTGGCACATTAGACGCACGAGGAGCATGTGCCGCACCTCGCACGCGTGGGCCTTCAGAGTGCCTGGTGCACCTGGAACCCGTAGCGCGCATGGCATGCGTGGCGTTCTTAGGCGATCTGCAGACACTCAGATGTTATTTCTGTGTTGGGAGGGCGGGTGGGAGTGAGCTAGGCGGCCTGCTATCTAGGAGTGTAGCTTTATCACTGCTCCCTATTAATATACACCCCGGCCTCCACCCGGCCGGCGGCCACCCCAGAACCATGCCGACCCCATGCGGGCCCCCCCTCCACCCCTGTCAAAAAATAATACAAACCGCACTCTGACTCCACATGTGGAGCATGCGCGGCCAACTCGATGCGGCCCCCCCCCACCATCCCTTTCAGAGAAAAATGCAGAGGACACTTTGGGGCAAAGTCTTGAGTCATGTTCGGGAGGCCCGCGAGCACGTTGTACTGTGTGTTGACAGGGACGGCGGGGGTGTCAGCATATTCCCTGCTGCGCATAGGGCTACCATCCCAGACAACAACACAACACAACATGCACCTGTCGGCTAAATCTGGATCGTGCGCGGCCGCCCCGCGATCACTGCCAAATGTTTTCTGACAGGGACGGCGGGGGTGGTGGCGCGTGGCCTGCTGTGCGCAGGCCCACCAGACGCAATGATGGGCGTTGGTTTTCGATAGGGATGTTTGGGGGCCGACGTGCTTCCCGAGGTGTGCTGTCGCGTGCTGTCAGGCGCACCCGACGGACTGAGCACGTGCCCCGAACGCAGCGCACCCGGCGCGGCTGGAGCGTGCGGCGCCCCTGGCGCTGCCTGGCGCGCGTGTCGCCCCTGGCTCACCTGGCCCGGGCGTCGCGCACACCTGGGGTCGGCTCTGGTTCCCAGTAGCTGTCCGTCCGAAGACGACCGCTGAGCATGCTCGGGCTCGGGTGTTACTCATGTGTTGGGAGGGCGGGTGTGAGTGAGCTAGACGGCTTGCGGGCGGGTGGGTAGCTTGACCCCTCCCCCTACCCCTTCCCCCTGGACCTGGACAGGGCGCCCCGCGAGCGAGTGGAGCGTCCAGGATGCCTATGGGCTCCAAGAGGACCTCAGAGAGCCCAGTATAGTATGGCCTCCAAGACGACTCAAGATTTACAGGAGCATGAAGTTTTGAGATTGATAATTCTCAAGAGTTCCAGGTTATCCCGTCCTTCCGCGCGAGCTCCAGGGACGAATGCTCGAGCGCATTCCGTCGCGCAGGTTCTTCGCGCGATGTGCGCGATGACTTTTCGCGCATCGGAGCGCCCCCGGACATTCCAAGCTGCATTCTGTTTTGCTGTTAGGGAGTCCGCGAGTCGCAGCTGGCGTGGCGCGATTTGCGAGGTAACCCCTTCGAGTGCTGTTCGCAGGCGCAGGGCGCGGCGCGCGCTGCGCCCAATCGCACGCGACGCGGCGCGTGAATCAGCCGGTTGCGCCCGTCAGACCGCCCGGAAATTATTTCCGGAGTGTCGAATGTTTCAAGAAAAGCGCGGCCGCCTTTTCCTTTTTGTAAAAACGGTTCCGGAATGTTGCAAAAAGGAGTCTGGAAATTTTGAATAAACAGTTTTGAGGGGTGCAGGTCGTTCGCCGCGCAGGACATTTGAAGAATTCCGAAATCCGGAAATTTTCAAAATTGATTCCGAAGATTGTCGCAATCGATTCTAGAATTTTTCCAAAATCGATGCCAGGATTCCAAAAGTAGGCGGGTCATGTTCGTGAGAGTTCTTGGGTTTTGTTCAACTCTACCCTCGGAGAATTTTCTAAAGTCGCGCGTGATTTGCCTTGCCAGGTTTTTGGCGCACACATTTGTTTTCAATATTTGCAGAATTTTCATGGATTGAGGGTTGCTCGTTTCCAAATTTTGGCTCTCGCCGCAGCGTCGCGCTCATTCCTTGTTAACATGTGCAAGAGCTTCGCTGGTTCTCATGGTGGTTCATGTAGCAGGAACCGTGTTTTGGAACGATTCTGGATTGTCAGGGCGCAACAGCTATGTTGACTCACGGTGTTGAAAGTCCAGGAATTGTGTTCTGGCACGATTCTGAGACTGGTGTGTTGCCACGCTTCGATCTGTTCACACGGTTGTCCCCCAACGGGGCACTTCCTTGAGTGGAAATGACCCTTTTGTAGGGACTTGAAAACCGGAGAGTAGATTGGGTCGCTGGGTCGCGCCGCATCGCCGAGGCGACGATGCAGCTCGATGTGGAGCCCGGTGTTCCCACGCCGACGGCGCGGATGCATCGCCGACGTCGCCGATGCATCGCCGCTGCATAGCCGGTACATCGCCGATGCATCGCCGATGTATCGGTGATGCGGCGCGATCCTTCGACCCCATCTATTCGGACCCCATCTAGGATCTAGGAGGCTTCTAGCGAAGGCTGCAGAACAACAGATCCTAGATTCCTCCCCTCAGGCCGCCGAAAATTGTGTTCTTCCCGCAGGGGCCGAAGAGGATACAGGACGAGAGCGAGGCAGAAATGCGTGAGGGGACGGGAGGGCGGAGGGAACTTTGAAAGAGAGCGGCTCCTCTGTCAGAGGCCTGGGAGCCCGCCAACCCCATCCAGCCTGGAGCTCCCCCACGACGACGACGACGACGACGACGGCCGAAATCTGTTCACAAAGTTGGCCGCTGGGGACCCCTCCCGGGACGCCCTGCCTGATGTTTGAGAGCCCGGGTCGGTGTCCGACGGTCTGGGAGCGCTGAGCACGGCCCCCAGGGCCCGAAACTGCAACGAAGAGCTGCATGCTCGGACCCGCTGAGCCTCGGGGGCGGCAAAGAGGGGGGTGATGACTAGGGGGGGGTGGACATCATGGCGTGGGCCATGATATTTCCCCAGATTCCATGGTGCCTCTTCTTATTTCATTACGTCCCTGGCCCCCCCGCTGGGCCGCGCACATCCGGCCATGATTTGCACCCCCCCCTCTTGGACGCCCCCCTCTTTGCCGCCCCCGAGAACCTCGAGCCGCCGCGAGGCGCTCGGCGTGGTGGTGCGCCTGGCGGAGCCCGGCGACACCGCCGCGAGGGCGCTAGTGGCCGCCCGCCTCGGCGACCCCGACGGCGAGGTCCGCAGGTGCGCCGTGGAGGCCTGCCAGGACCTCGTGGAGCACGGGGGCCGGGGCCTCACGGAGGCGCCCCGCGGAGGGCTTCGCCAGACGCCTCGGCCGGGCTCCCCTCCGAGAGGTGGAGGATTGGGCGGAGGAGGAGGAGGAGGAGGAGGAGGAGGAGGAGGAGGAGGAGGAGGAGGAGGAGGAGGGAGGAGGAGGAGGAGGAGGAGGAGGAGGAGGAGGAGGAGGAGGAGGAGGAGGAGGAGGAGGAGGAGGAGGAGGAGGAGGAGGAGAAGGAGGACCAGTGCTGGCGACCGTCAGGCATCAGGTTGGGCGCCCCACGGCGTCGAGGCGATGATCACAGGATACTGCGGCTACGCTTGAGGTGGACCAGTGCAAACCACAGACTCATCAATGATGCTGGGATACACCCTCCCTCCAAGCTCCTTCGTAGGCCGCATACAAGGTTTCAACTCAAATTTGGGACGTGCCCCGTTGGGAGACAACCGTGTTGAACTCCTGAAGCATACCAAAAACCTTCTCAGGACTTCAACGCCACGAATCACCTTAATGTTGCGTCTTGACGATCTTGAACCGTGCGAAACAACATAAGTGTTGCGCTTTGACGTTCCTGATACGTTCGAAGACATGTTCTCTCGAAGGATAGTGTACCCGCGAAACCCACTTTTAGAAAACGAGCCGCCATCAATCCGCGAAGCTCTTGCAACTGTTGGAAACGAATGTGCGCGGCGCTACGGCGAGAACTACAGCGCTAAAGCGAGAGCCACACGTTGAAAACGACCCGCCCCTCAACCTGTGAAGCTTCTGCCATTTGCCATCACATGAGTGGGCGCGGCGCTGAGGCGAGAGCCACGTTTTGGGAACGACCCGCCCTCAATCCGTGAAATTTTTATTGATCAAACGAACGTGCACCGCGGTGAAGCGAGAGCCACATTTTGGAAGCGACCCGCCTTCTATTTGTGAAGATCCAGGCTCATAGATGGTCAGGAAGTCCCAGGCGACACGCCCAGCCCGCCCTTTCGACCAGCCTCGGGGCGCGGCAGGGGGAGCTGTGCATGGGGAATAGAATGGAGGAGGAGGAGCAACAGCAGCAGCAGGAAGAGGAAGGGGAGGAGGAGGAAAAGGAACAGGAGGATGAGGAAGAGGAGGAGGAAGAGGAGGAGGAAGAGGAGGAGGGAGGAGGAGGGAGGAGGGGGAGGAGGAGGAGGGAGGAGGAGGAGGGAGGAGGAGGAGGAGGAGGAGGAGAGAGGAAGAGTTGGGGGCGTTGAGTGGGGACGGGAGGTGGAGGGGGGAGGGGGGGAAGGGGGGAGGAGGACCAATGTATTGATACCGTTACCTGCTACCCTTGCACCGTTTTCGCCTTCTTGGGCCTCCTGGGAAGCCCTCTTGGCCACGGTTGGATTCGCTTCGACATGTTGGTCAACAGGCGCCCAAGGAGAGGTTGGGGAGTACCATACTCGGGGCGTTTCTGCCGCCCCCCAAAGAGGGGCCTCGCCCTCTTGCGCTTTCCAGGGATAGGGGGGTCCTAGCGTGCGCCCCTCCCCTTGCAGGGCGCCCGGGCGCCCAGTCGCATTTTCATGCAGCCTCATTTTCTTCCGCCCCCCCAGCAAGGAAGGCCGCTGGGGAGGAGGGTTGCGCCCACGTGCAATTAGAACCCACACCCACGAAGGCCTTCAAAAAGGAGGAGGAGGAGGAGGAGGACGAGGAGGACGAGGAGGACGAGGAGGAAGTGGAGGAGCTAGGTTGGCGACCCGATGGAGGAGGGAGGATCTATCGGGATCCCCTTTCACTTGACTGGGCGGCGAAGGGTCGGGGAGTGCACCCCCCCATCGGGCATAGGCGAGGCCAAGGGAGAGGACGGTCGGGGGAAGAATAATCGGAATAGACATGAGCTTCCGGGGTCTGCGCGGATTGTTAAGATCGGCGATGGACCCGCCTGGCGGCGACTCCAGCGCCGCCCCTGGCGCGCTTTGCGCGCTGGAAGGGGGGACTCAGCGCCGATCCAAGAAATCTGCTCCTATTTGCGACAGCTTACGCTGACCTATTGTGTTGTAGGCTATGGGGGGGCCTGGATGTTCTCGCCGACTCTTCGGAGATTTGTTCTGGCCTCGGGGTGCTGTCCATCAGCTGCGCCGTGTTAGAGGGGCCAGGGGCTGGTGCGCACGTGGCCTTCTAGCCTGGCAGGTGGCCAGGCACGAGTACCGCGCACACAGCCGGCCCAGGCCCCAGCAGGGTGGCCCCGGGGCGGCCTCCAGGAGCTTTTTTTTTTGGATTCGGGCAAGTTTACTTGCATGGCGTTCGCCCCCCCCTCCCCCTCGCCCCTCTTCAAGCGAACACGAGCGTGCAAGTGCCTTTCGACTTGCGTGATCTCCGCACGTCGAATTGTTTTCGGCTTGCTTCAGACTCAGCCCCCGCCCCCCCGTCCATGCAAGTAAACTTGCCCGAATCTAAAGAAAAAACAGGCTCCAGGCCCCCGCGCCGCGTCCGCCGGCGCCCCCTCCGGGGCGCCCTGCCCCACGGGGGCAGGGTGTCGAGGTCGCCCTGCAGGGGCTCGTCGAGGCCAGTCTGGGCCGTCTTGCCTCGTGGGGGCCGCGTGTGTCCGGGCCGCCCACACGGGGTCGAAGTACGGTGGGCTCGCGTCGTGTCGACGCGGCGGGGACCCCGCCGCGGGCGTTCGAGTTTGAGCGCCGGCGGCGGCCCAGAATCGGCCACCACGGGACGCTTTGGCGACCGAAAGGCCGCGGAGATCTTTGGGCGGTTGAAGGATCCACGCGGTGTCGGGAGCCAGCGCGCAGGTCGTCACGACACGAGTTCGCCGTAGGTGCGGTCGGTGGGGTGCGGCGCATCGCCGATGCCTCGGCGATGCGGCTCGATGCGGAGGCTTCTTTTCTCCACGCCGACGTCGCCGATGCATCGGCGGTGTGGCATGATCCTCTGACCTCATGTGCTGGGGGCCCACTTTGCTGCGGCCTCCCACGTGCGCGGCCTCGAGCCTGGCCCCACGGAGGTGCTCATCCCCCACGTCGTCTGCGGGGACTACTGCCTCCGCCAGATGGCCCTGCGGACCCTGCAGCGCATCGCCGAGCGGGGCGACGACCAGGGCGCCGTGCTGGCGCTCACGCCGTGGCTGGAGAACGGGCACTGGCCGCAGCGGCAGGCTGCCCTGGAGGCGGTCGGCGCGCTCGCCGAGCGGGGCGACGCCGCCGTGGTCGGCTGCGTGGTGCGGCGCCTCGCGGACTCCGACGAGAGCTGCCGGCACGCCGCGTGCGAGGCGCTGCCCCAGGTGGCCGCCGCCGGGGACCACGCCGCCGTGGCCGCGCTGGCCGAGAGGCTGGAGGACAAGAGCTGGCTCGTGCGCGACGCGGCGTGCTCGGCCCTGCAGCGGCTCGCGACGTCCGCGCAGGCGGCCCTGTTCGACGGCCTGCGGGGTCACAGCGAGGAGGATGGGGGGAGGGACAGGGCACCCCGACCCCGACAAATTCGCCGAGCGCGGTCCACGACTGGCGGAGTGCCTGCTCGCTAACGTCCAGAGCAAACACGTCTTCCTCTCATGTAGTGTATCGCAAAATCCCCCGCGGCGGATCCAGGCCATCTGCGAGCAGTAACTTCGCGATGAGGTGGAGCGCGCTTGGCGTTTACTGAGCGACCCTTCGCGTTTGCTAAGCAGCCCTTCCCTGTTCGAGTGCTTACCTCGGGTGCGTCGGGTGCCCCCAGCAGAGAGCGAGCGAGTAGCCGAGGGAGGGGTCAGTATTCAGTCGGGCGTGTCCCTCTACAGGAGGAATATGCAAAAATAATCAAGTAATGGATTTCTGACGACTTGCTAATCTGTTTTGACCATTTGGGGGTATTCCCTGACTATTTTTCGATTTTTGTCGTCGAACATCCCTCTGTAGGAGGACATGCCCGACTTAAGGTCAGTACGAAGCGCACTCTCTCTGGCCCCTCTCGGTGTTCCGGCCCTCGCCAGCCTAAGTTTGGTGTCTGAGCCTCCCCCTTTCCCCTCCCCGCGCCCGCGCGCTCCTCCGGGGAGACAGACTGCTTCGCGCGTGGAGGGCAGGAGGCAGGAGGGAGGAGGGAGGAGGGCAGGAGGGAGGAGGGAGGAGGGAGGAGGGAGGAGGGAGGAGGGAGGAGGGAGGAGGGAGGAGGCAGGAGGGAGGAGGGAGGAGGGAGGAGGAGAGGAGGAGGGAGGAGGAGGGAGGAGGAGGGAGGAGGAGGAGGAGGAGGAGGGAGGATGTTCTGCTCCCCATGGAGGAGGTGCGGAGGGCCGCCTCCGAGGTGCTCGCGGCCGTGCTCGCGCGGGAGGCCGCGCAGGGGGCCGGCGTGGATTGCACAGCCCCGAAGGCGAGCAAAAACGCTATGAGCATAAACTTTCGAGGAGGAGGAGGAGGAGGAGGAGGAGGAGGAGGGGGCCGGTGTGGACTGCACAGCCCCGAAGGCGAGCAAAAACGCTATACACTCTAGGCGATGCTTAAGAAAACCCAAGTTTTCGGCTAGAGTCTCGATGATTCTTAATGTTTCAGTGTAGATCCTAAGATTTGAAAGAGCGTGTTCTACCGCTGCTGGCGGAAAACGGGGGGGGGTCACTACCGGTTCGAACCCCTCCCCCCCCCCCCCCCGGGAAAACTGGGGGGGGTCACTACGGGTTCGAACCCCTCCCCCTCCCCCCCAGTTCATCATGAAAAGGGAGGGGGGGGCACTACCGGTTCGAACCCCCCCCCCCCTCGAACTCGAAAACCAGGGGGGGTCACTACCAGTTCGAACCTCCTCCCCCTCCCCCTCAAAAACCGAGGGGTGGTGCGGAACAGTGGTGGGGACGGTGGTGGTGGGGACAGTGGTGAGGGGACAGCGGGACAGTGGTGGAGACAGTGGGACAGTGGTGGGGACGGTAGTGGCGGGGACAATGGTGAGGACAATGGTGGGAACAGTGGGGACAGTGGGACAGTGTTGGGGACGGTGGTGGTGGGGGCAGTGGTGTGGGGACAGTGGGAATGTGGTGGAAACAATAGGACAGTGGAGGGTACAGTGGTGGTGGGGACAGTGGTGAAGGCGGTGGCGAGGACGGCGGTGGTACAATGGGACAGAGGTACAGTGGGGACAGTGGTGGGGACAGTGGGGACAGTGGTGGGAACAGTGGGACAGCTCAGTGGGACAGCGGAGGAGTCAGTGGGACAGTGGGGACAGTGGGGATAGTCGTGGAGAAAGTTGGGAGAGTGGAGCCGTGGTGGGAACAGTGGTGTCAGTGCGACAGTGGTGGTGGCACTCGTGGGGACAGTAGGGGGCGGTGGAGGAATCAGTGGGGACAGTGGTGGTGAGGACAGTGGTGCTGGGAACAACAGTGGGGGATGTGGTGAGGACGGTGGTAGGGACCGGGATTCGTTTGCTGAGGGCGAGAGGGGGGTGGGGAGCGGTTCGAACCGGTGTGCCCCCCCCCCCTCCGGTTTTCGAGGGGGGGAGGGGGTTCGAACCGGTAGTGACCCCCCCCGGTTTTCGAGTTCGAGGGGGGGGGAGGGGGGGGGGGTTATAGGGGAGGGGGGGGTTGCCGGGGGGGGGGAGGGGGAGGGGGTTCAGCAGGGGGGGGGGAGGATTTTCGGGAGGGGGGGGGGACCCCCGGGTTCCGGAGGAAAAGGGTGGCAATTTTCCACGATAAAGCGGCGGTGGATCACGCTCTCTCTAAGATTTGAATAGACATTCTGGGTTTTTTTCAAATTCTGAGACTATGAATTTCTTAACCCATGTTTTCTAAAGCATTTCGCAGGGTGGAAACATGAACATTCGACGCTCCGCGCGGATTTCGTGGATCTGCGCGGGGTGGGGGGGTGGGGGGGCAGCGCCCCCAGCGCCTCCAGCGCTGTAAACAGTAGGTCGGGCACGTCCTCTTACAGCCGACTTTTGTAAAGAAGAATGACAAGTAGTCAAACATTGTTCAGGTATGCCCCAAAAAGCACGAAACCTCGTCCCCAGAGTTTTTTTTTGCCATTCTCGACTGCTCCTCCTGTACAGGGCCATACCCGACTTGATATCGACATGAACTTTCGACGCTCCGCGCGGATTTCTCGGGTCTGTATTGGGCCCCCCCTGGCGGCGCTTCGGGCGCCGGCCCTGGCGCGCTCCGCGCGCCAGGGAGGGGGGTCCAGCGCAGATCCAAGAGATCCGCGCGGAGCGCCACAAGTGAAGGGAGGAAGAAGCACCCAGACCCCGACAAGTGGCGTTTACTAAACGGCCCTGGGCGTTTACTCAACAGCCCTGCCCTGTTCGATTCCTTTCTTGGGGGCGTTTACTAAACGGCTTCGCTTGTCGGGGTGATCATTATGGGGGCGGATTGTCTGCCCTCCACAACTATTACGTTTATAGCGTTGTTTCCTTCTTCTAGCAGCGTCCCTGGTGCCCTGCGCCGACGGCCCCTCGCCGGAGTCGGCCAGCCGAGGTCTGCGCGCTGGCATCGCGTCGACGCGTCTGCCCACGGCGCAGAGCGCTGCGAAAAGTCGTTATTCTTCGTCCATCTAGGCTTAAGTCGGGCACGTCCCTCGAGGATGATTCAAAACTAATTGAAGAACATCTGGAGACGATTTATGATTGTTTGGTCTGTGCTTGATTCTGTGTTGCACGTGTTTCATGTGTCGTCCAACATCCGCCTGTAGGAGGACATGCCCGACCTGATTCTAGGCCTCCCAGATGGGGTCCGAACAGATGTGGTCGGAGGATCGCGCCGCATCGTCGATGCATCGGCGATGCGGCTTGGTGTGGAGCCCGATTTTCTCACGCGTACGTCGCCGCTGGATCGCCAGCGTCGCCCTTGCATCGCCGATGCATCGCCGATATATCGGCGATGCGGTGCAATCCTCCGACTCCACTCGGACCCCATCTAGGAGACCTCGAGTCCTGTGGGGCGGGCCTTTGCACGCGTTGGGATTAAAACGTCGCCGAGTAATTGGCTATGCAGCTGGAGCCAGGCACACGCGCGCTGTCCACCCTCTGCGCGTGATCGCCTCAGTCGCTGCTCCTGATATTACCGTAACCCTCCTGTTATGTGGGAAGGCAGCGTCTGTATTTGTCTGGGCAGCTTGGCATTCCTCGCCTTGGAGTTGGAGATCATCGCACTCATAATATTGTTTGCCTTGATCTCGGCGGCAAGCGAGGGGGGAAGTGAGAAAGATAAGGCCTACTCAGAAGGCTGCGGCACTTCTCAGAAGCCCTCGCGCCTCATGATAAGTTCTTCGTGTCTTCGGGGAAGCTTCTCAGAAGGCCAGGGGATTTCCGAGCCTTCTGAGAAGTCCTGTCCCTTCTCACTTTCCCCTGGGCTCGCCGCCGATAGCATTCCTCGCCTTGGCGTTGGAGATCATCGCGCTCATAACCTTGTTTGCCTTGATCACATGCGTATCGTCTTCTGTAGCGTCAACATCACGGTTTTGTCACGAGTTTCCGCATCGCCGCCAGCGATTGTAAGTATGACAAGCACAAGAAAGAGCCCGAGGTTTTCATACGTTCCATGTCTCTTTGCTCACAGAGTGGCGGTGCCGGTTTTGCGGCAAAGACCGCACCAAGCGGCGTGCATGCAACCATGGGCGTTATGCCATAGGTTTTGGTGGCAAGTTATGCCAGCCATTTGCAGTTGCAGCTGGTTTTCCATTTGCGATGGGATCCGTTCTGCGGGCAGTGTGCGCTGGGACCCGGGCCAGAAGACGGGGCCATTCCGTGCTGGCCTCGGGGCGGCAGGCCTGCCGCCAAGGGCGCTCTGGCCACGGTCGCACGGCTGGTCCCCAGCATCGCACTCAGAGGTGGAGGGACGCCGTCCTCGGCGTCGTCGGCGCCCGCGAAGGCGGCCACGAAGGCGTCCCTGAGCATGTCGGGCTCTGGCGGGAAGCCGTGGCCACAGGGAGCGCGGGCGAAGATGGCCTTCATTACTGCGGCATTCGCAGCTGCATTATGGCTGGGTCCTTCGCCAGGCTGATATTTTTGAGGGCCCGGCGATGGCCCAGCGCACCGCGGGCCCGCCCGCCCGCCCTCCACACCCATCGCTCCCCGGATCACCTGGCCTCGTCGGTCGCGCCGGGCCGAAAGGGGGCACGCGCAACACTTGGCGCGCTCGCGGGCACTCGCGGGGCTGTCCGAGGCAAAAGAGGCGAGGCCATCGTCGGAAACTGGGGCATATACATTACCAGTGGCGGGCGGCTGCTCAATCCCAGGAAGTTTTTGGAGGGTCGGGGACGACGCCGGGGTGGCGTTGTGTATACTTGCTCCCCCGATTTCCCGTGGAAAACAGCAAAAAATGTATACACCAGGATGCCATATACACCATGATCCGCTTCCTTGTGCGAATCTCCGTGCGGGTCCAGAAACACAAGCATCGGTGCAGAAAGTTCGGTTCCTTACATCGGCCCCCACCGGGACATCTGGGCCGTCGCTGAAAAAAGCAAAGAGCTCCGGGCCGAAGCCCGCCGCCCAGGAAGGTGCGGATTCACTATCAGGGGCCCATCGCCGACCCATCGGCGATGTATCGCCGATTCCAGGTCGATTCATCCCCCCCTATGCCTGTCCCCCCCCCATCGTTGCCCCTTAGCAGAGAGCTCCGGGCCGAAGCCGGTCTCACTGCGGAGTCGGTTGCGCTGGGCCCCGGGCGCACGTTGCCGGGCTCCCATGCGCGAGGCCTGGCGGATTTGGTTTCGGCGGTAGCAGCGAAGTGGGGTGGCGGGCTGAGGGTTCGTGGTGCTCGTGAGTCGCCCCTGCGCCCATGCGGTGGAGAGGAGGAGGCGGAGGAGGAGGAGGAGGAGGAGGAGGGGAGGGGGAGGGGGAGGGGGAGGAGGAGGAGAGGAGGAGGAGGAGAGGAGAGAGGAGGAGGAGGAGGAGGAGGAGGAGGAGGAGGAGGAGGAGGAGGAGGAGGAGGAGGGGGGGAGGGGGGAGGAGAGGAGGGGAGGAGGAGGAGGGAGGAGGAGGAGGGGGGGGAGGGAGGAGGGGAGGCAGAATAGGAGGGGGAGGAAGAGGAAGGAGGAGGAGGAGGAGGAGGAGGAGGAGGAGGAGGAGAGGAGGAGGAGGAGGCGGAGGAGCATCAGCAATAGCGGCATCAGGAGTTCACAGCTCACCCACGTTCTTGTTGGAAAGTTTTCCGTGCGAGCCCACGTTCATCTGTTGAGGTCTCGCATCCTTGCCGGGCGTTCATGCGTCAAGTGTTATTTCGTATCTCCGATTGCAGGAGGAAGAGTCAGAGTCTCTAGGGCAGCGTTGCGGTGGCTTCCACTGGTTAGCCATAACGTCAAAGGCGTTGGGAAAGTGTTTCGCTCTTGACATAACATCCCTGACGTGTTCCGTAACTCGTATGCCTCACGCGGGGGCCATCTGCAGTTTAGCCCATCCTGGTCGATGAAAGCG